ACGCAGCGTTTGCCACCCTCCCCTTTGCAAGCGACAGAGAAAAACGGCGAAGTCAAAACGTGCTGCGATTACACGTCGGGCTGGGATTTCTTGTCATAAAGGCCTATTGGGTCGTGCAGTTGCTAGTTCGGTTTACAAAACCGCCTCTTCAGTCGCTTGCCAAAATGACAAAACTCTGCGGGAAGGGATCTGCAGGAAGGTTCCTGCACGCGTGATTCCTCCCCCCGGCTTTTGCGTATTAGGAAACAGTCTTTAGCTGCTTTATCACAAACTGTACGTATTACACGGTCAAAGTTTCACTCACCACACAAGATGAACAGACTCTACAGGACTCTCTCTCTCACGTGAACATGTTCGTAAATGTAAAAGAAGAAAATAACATTTTTTGCTGATTTCAATACTTGGAAATTCAGATTTTTGCCATCAAGTACCGTAATTCCTGCCAATACACTGCTGTTTGACTCTAAGCATTTTATTTTTAAAACGTCCCTTTCACATGCCATCTCCTCTGTACTGCCAGCCGCACATACGCCTCTAGAGCATGTCTGCTCGTGCCGCAAGTACAAAAGCTTTGCAAGACTGACATGATGTCCCAGGAACATGATTAAATACTGTTGAGGGCAGAATTATCTTTATTTGTAAAAGCTTCTCAAGTTAAAATCTACCTCCACAAAAAGCCTATAGGAACATACCTAAAACTGGATTCCGCCTCTGTGATGTGCAAGTCGCAGATCTTCTGCTGACAGCAGACATCTATAAGCAGAAGCACTCAAAAGTTTAAAAAATGAAAGTTCAGGATTTCTTCTCTTTCTGCTTTAGCACAGACTTCCTGACAACTGTACACCAGCCTTCCGCTGCAAGGAGCATCCCAACGATCATTGGGAAGGATCTATTAGGAGAACTCGGCTTATCCCCGTGGCAGGGGAAGTACCACGTAATTTCTTGCTGTAGCAGGAGTGTCCAAATAATTTCAGAAGGCTACGGCTCATTCTAGAATGACTTAAAGGATATTTTTCAAATGCACAAAAGGTGGTTGGATGCTAACACTAGCCTGCACCCCTAAAAATCTCTCCGTCAGAAGTCCAAGATTCAAAACTAACTCACAAGCCAAACGGGATGTAACTGTTTAAAATACGTAGTCACCTTTGAAACCAGTCGATATAGATGTCCTTTATACAGTGCTCAGCTCAGAAAGGGTTTAATTGTATGTTGAAGGCATAACGTGTCCTTTACGGGAAAGAGAAGGCCAATCTCTGAGAGCAAAAATACCGAAAAGATAGCTTTGGCCGCCATCTGCAGCTGCAACAAAAATGTGATTTCGCCATTGCCAGTGTGTTGTCATGTATACCACTGTTTGCCGAGTCCAACCGAAATTCTCTATTTTTAGTCTTTCAGCTACTTTCAGATAAAATTCCTGCAGATAGGACTAGCTGTATAGGGCAGATAACATACAACTCTGAAACCACAGATGACCTCATGCAACTGCAAAGAAAGAATGGTCTGTTACTTAAAACAAGGCTAAAATTTAACCCGGCTATACTAAAATTAAACAGGGAGTGTTTTACAGTCCCATTACAAGACATAAAACAACAGCCACTATAAATTCACGGTATACTTATTTGTAAGGATGTAAAAAGAGTAATTAATAACCCCAAAACAGCTTATCTCCACAACACCAAAGCTTTCCCAGGCTCGTTGGAGATGTTACAAATAGCACAGAGAAGCTATTTCAAGCTGTCATTTAAGAATTATTTGTTCAAACTGAAAAGTCATTGCTCTTTGTCACAAGTCACAAGACATTTTTTAGTGTTCCACACTTTTAGTTGACATTACGGAGAGAAAATAAATAAATGTAATCCAAACTTTCTGAAAGGGCTTCCATGTGTAAGAACACTTAGCAACCACAGATCCAGACGAGCACTGCACAGCGATTCTTCTTTGTCCAAAATGCACTGTACCTTCTACCTTCTCCTTCACCCTTTCTGTGTGTCACCCTATATACCAAAAGGCACCGGTTGCCTTTAAAATGCCACTTATTTCCGACAGATTGAAGCACAGTTCTGAGTACTATCACTCAAGTTTATTCTTAAGTATTTAAGGAGAAATGTGTAAGGAACGGATACGTCACAAGTGAATCAATACAGATCAGGGTGCTCGGTTTGCATCCCTTGCGATGCGTTGCTCACACCTCTTTTGGTTTGCAGCGTATTTGCTGGGTATTTCTTCAGAACAAATCCCTCATGACGTTATCACATACTTCCAGTTGTAGCAGAAACACTCTGAAAGACCTTTTCCTCAAGAAAAATTTTCACTCCTTAGTGAACGGTTTAGGTACATGAAGGGAATAATCCTAAGGTAAAGAAATTCCTTCACCCCCTCACCAAATCACTGTAAGAGATCAGTAAAAGATTCAAACCACTTCTCTTAACTCTCCCTTTCTTTCCTTAATACCAGCATAGGCAAACCTGTATTTTTTACAATGACACAGCTCCTCTTGTCATGTTGTCTTTCAAGCACAGCTAGCATTGAAATAAAGGGTTACAAAGCATTTAACTGTTAATTTGAGATTATAGAACGAGTCTGATTTTTTCTGGCTTCACGTCACTTGAAAGGAGAAACTCCATTTGTCATAAGGAATGAAAACCAGGACAGAACAAGGTTTGCCATCGCGCGCTCTGAGGAATTGTAGGTGGAGTTATATAAACAACAGAGCAACGGTCACGGGAAATCTTAGGGACTGTAATATACTGAGGTACCAAAGGAGGAAGGAAATAGAGCACTGAGACATGTGTAATATACACAATTAAAAATCAAAAACCCAAGTGAGTCCCAACAGAGACCGAAATCAATTAAAGTCTGGTGTTTTTTTATTCTGTTAAAATGACAGGAAAGAACCAAAAATGCAATCTGCCACAAAAATTACGCTCCATCACCTGGAAAAGCTGGGCATTCAACTCTATTTTAAGCTGAATTTTTCCCCACAGCCTATGAAACAAGCACTGTTGGATCACAGACCCTGTCCTCATTCACTGCCACTCTAACTGAGACTTACCTTGTCCTCCACTCTGTTCAGCCTGGCACCAATCGTGTTATTCCCTCGATCTTTGCTTTTTTCTGTGGAACAAGAAACATTTTCAAATTAATATATGGTGGTATAACAAAATAGGAGCAAGCCACAACAGGGTGTGTTTAACTAGCCCACCAACGCAGTGTAACTGAACACCTTGGCCAGGCTGGTAGTTCTATTCCTTAAAAGCAGCTTTTTGTTTCTTTTTATAGCATTAGCCCACGCCATGGCTTTTAATAGTTCTTGGGTTTAAGGCACTTTCAACCTTAGTTTTATGCTTTAACCTGGGAGAACAAAACTGTTCCCAATTTAGTTAATGTTTTAATTGCCATTTAAAAACAATCTGCCTCTATGCAAAAAACTCTACAACCAACTTGAACGATGCGTTTGGTAACACTTTATCTTTTTTTTGCCTATAAACTATATAGAAATATGAGTTTGAAAATGACATTAACAGAGAGTTTTCATTAACCAGGCTTGTCACAAACAAGCTTAGTACTTTGTGCTCCTTTCCAGTCTCTTTTCAAAGCTATCAAATCTCTATGTGAATATTACTGATTTCATAGGAACTCTGTAATCATAGCATGCCATTTTATTGAAAAAATGGTGAGTCTTGGAGAGATTAGAGCCAACATCTTGAAAACTTCAGTGAAAGTAGGTGATTTAAATATCTAAAGAAGAACAAACCTATTTTAAAGGTGTTGATGACTAAATATTCAGGCCACAACTGGTTGGCACTGTTTAAAAATTTGGGAACAAAATAAAAAGTATTTTAACAAGTATTTTCCATTAATTATACCTTCATCAGATTAACTTCAGACACATCCTTCATATTAACTTACCTGAGACAGAGATAAAAAGAGATGGCTTCCCTATGGATTGGTCCAACCTATAAACCAAAAACAATCATTTTTAGCTTTTATCAGTCTGACCCAGCTTCTTCACTTGCTCTAGCTGGAGTGGGGGGGACCTCTTCACAAACAAACAAAGTTAAGTTCAAATAGTTCTGGTTTGTAGTAGTAGTGAAGCTTTGGGCTAAGAATTGCTTGAAATTAAAAAAAAAACCCAAAACAAAATTGGATTAGATTTAGATTGGTCTTCAGCTTATTTAACTACTGTAAAGTTTTACCATGCCCATCGCTTTTCCATGTGAACAGCATTCTTTATTCTTTTCCTCATTCTTCTGCGGCTTATTTGTTGCATCTATCTGTCACCTCTTAGTTTGCTCTTAAGTGCAATTCTACCAGAGCAGGTAACAGTATTTCATTCTGCCCGTATAATACAGCCCCTAACATATAGGGATTACAGTGTATAGTCAAAGCTAGCAGGGGCTGAGGCAATGCACGTAAGTATAATGAAAATTGTAAGTCTCAATGATCAGATTTTTAGGCTCTTTGCCTTTTCCTTCCCGTGTGAAAAGAGAACTCGAATGCCATTTTATATTCTGTAACTTTGCACAGTCCTACCAATATGGCACCTGTAACCCTGTCAGTTTTTGATCCCCAGCCCAAATCATCGACTTATTTCCAAATATCCCTCTGCTGGTGATTACAGATACAGAGACAGAATTTCATTGACATACCTCCTCTGTAACTCCTTGATTCGCACCATCAGGTTGAGGTGACCCTGAGAATACTGCTCAATAACATCTCGGACATCATAGGGCTTTCTAGCTTGCTGTAAAATAAAAAAAAAAAACCAAAACGCATGCTTTTAAGCCACAGGGATTTAAGAATGGTCTATGGTCCTGTAGATTTTTTTTCAAGAGTAAACAGTAAGTTCTTTTAACCCTGCTTTTAACACTGTGTAAACATTTGAGATATTTTGATTGTTGCCATGATCACACACTTTTGGTGGAATAATTATGACTGTTCTGATTTCATCCACCTTTTTGTTATTGCAGGTCTGCATGCCTTGCAAGAGATTATCCACTGAACTTGGGGCCAAAAGAACCTGAGTTCTTTTATACAAAAAAGTATAACCGGCACTTGGCTCAGAAGTTTGTGGTCACTCTAGTTTCTTCTGGGAATAAGGTTCATACTCCTTGGCCACTGAATAGCAAAGAGGTCTTTCACACACGCAAGCCCTGTCAGTCAGCAGCAAGACAGCTGGAGTCCTCAGTTCAGCTCTTAACCATGGGAAGGTTAAAGCAGAGTCCTGGCTGAAGGTGCACGACTGATTTCCACTTCCAGAAAGAGTGGCTGAGCTTTCAAATCTACTGGGAAATACTGGGAAAATATTGGTGCAAGGGATGACCAGGGAGAAATCCCTGTGTCTGTAATTTTCACTTCATATATGGGAAAGCCGTAATTTGACCTATTAGTAATAAAACCATGTTTGTGTATTATTAAAGACCATAATTTTAATCAATAAACACCAAGACTAACTGGAAAGTAAATAAATGAACTTGTCGAAGCGCAGCGACAAATTAAAAATATCTTAATCCTACGTCTAGAGACTGGAGTCCGATCAGTGCCAGAGCTACATATTAGAAGCAGTAATGAAGCTCTAACACAACAGAGAAGAGGACAGAGGAGAGGAGTAGGGTGTAAAATTCACACATTAGACAGAACAGTAACACCTGTACTTACGATTTGGTAGAAAACTTTTTCTTAAAGGTGCTAATCAAACCAGTCAAAAAACACAGTAACAATAAATGATATGCCAGCAGGTATTAAGGGAGGTGATTCTACCCCTCTACTGCGCTCTGGTGAGACCCCACCAGGAGTACTGTGTCCAGCTCTGGAGCCCTCAGCACAGGAAAGACATGGACCTGTTGGAGAGGGTTCAGAGGGCCACAAAGATGATCAGAAGGATGGAACACCTCTCCTATGAAGAAAGGCTGAGAGAGTTGGGGTTCAGCCCAGAGAAGAGAAGGCTCCAGGGAGACCTTATTGCAGAGTTTCAGTACTTAAAGGGGGCTTAATAAGAAAGATGGGGACAGACTTTTTAGCAGGGCCTGTAGCAATGGGACAAGGAGTAATGGTTTTAAACTAAAAGAGGGCAGATTCAGACTAGATAGAAGGAAGAAATTTTTCACCATGAGAGTGCTGAAACACTGGCACAGGTTGCCCAGAGAGGTGGTAGATGCCCCATCCCTGGAAACATTCAAGGTCAGGTTGGATGGGGCTCTGAGCACCCTGATCTAGTTGAAGATGCCCCTGCTCACTGCAGGGGGTCAGACTAGATGACCTTCTTTAAAGGTCCCTTCCAACCCAAACTATCCTATGATTCTACATGTCTGACTCATTCATTATGCTGTCTACAGATATGCTGTAGATAATTTTCAAGGTTTGGTAAAAACCTTGGTAACACTGAATTACAGCTTTTCTTTTCTTGCACCTTTTGAGTACAAGGAAAAGTTTTTACACGGGTAGCTTCTAACATACAAGAATTCATATCCCGTTTGAGGTCTCAGAAATATTTTGTCACCTGTACTTCAAAAGCAGGCGATGTCTCTGCACTGCTTTAACCTTATTTCACATGCTGCAGGATTTCCTCAATTCCATGCCACAAATACCTTCGTTTGTAAGCCAAAGCAAAGCAGGACACAATATAAAAACCAGGCTGTGGCACCTTAATGCAGCCCCTTTCACCTTCCTGGGAGGTAGCGCCCACATTTTAGGAATCATTACTTTAATAATCATTACTTTAATAATACCACTTCATCAAACAAATTACATTGCAGTCTGCCAGATTCCCCAAAGCCAACTGCAAATCTTGGGTGAATGTGAGATACTCTCTAGTGGAAGGCTAAACAAGAATGGGAATTGCTTCTATCTAACCAAAGAGCACACCAAAGAATTCCCAAGAACCCTGCATACTTACACATGTATAAATCATAACTAACATCCACAAAGAAAGAAATATGATTCAACGATAGCATAAGTCCGGAAGTCTTTCCATGGACTAGTACTGTAAACATGATGATGGAAATTAAAAAAAAAAAAAAAAGAATTCTTGGATTATTTTTTAGTATAAATAAGCAAGAGAGAAATCTGCAAGATCAGCTTGAAAAATCCAGGCTCAGAATAGCTTTTCAGTAAGAATAAAGATGCAGACCTTTCTTCTGCCACCCTCATATCCTGATGCAGGTGTCTGACAGTAGAAAGAGTAGGTATGTCCCTGCCTGCTTTTCATTTACTGGGCTGCTTCTTTCTGTTTCAAATAAGAACTGAAAACCTGGAGTAAACAAAATTTATGAATGAAGCTTAATTTCTGAGTAGGATAGGGTATATAATAGTCAGCACTGATTATTCCGTAATTACTTCATATTGAAAGCTGATCTTCCAGGAGAAAATACTGTTGATGTTGTCAACATGTTAGTTTTGTAAAAGGGAAAAAATCTGCAGCAGGCAATGGATGAGTATTGCAGAAACAAAAGTAGAAGCCAGCCCCACAGCTTTCCTTAACTTCTCTACTTCACTTTTGTCCCTCTGCTAATTAACCAATACTCATGGCAAAAATCTTCTTAAAATGAGTTAAAATTTCCCCCATCATATACAGAAGTTTGCAAAAGGCAAAAAAGCCAATGCCAAACATTAACTGTGCACCACTGACCATTGCTGTTCCCTACTAACTGCATGTGCAGGGAGGCAGACCCTGCTGGGGGAAAGGGAGAGGGGAATCTGTGCAAGGCGAATTTCTGCGAAATGTAACCAGCTAACAGCCAAATAAATTGGGTAGAACATCCTTTGAAGCACAGGACACTCTGAACTACATTGTTTGGTACAGCCCAGTATGGAGATTAGAAAAGATTACACACACAATTCATGATTCATACCATGACAAATGAATTACATAAGATGATGAATTATAAGACTATAAATGCAAGATTTTCCGGTGAAATTGTAACAAACCAGGCAACAGTTACTCATATCATCAGTTGAACTACAACCCGTATTTTTACTTTATGCTATATATACAATATTTGCCATGGTGAAAAACATAACACAAGTTAAAAACATATTTTAGAAGAAAATTGATTTACTCAACAGGAAGGATTTACATGGAAAGAAAAAAAGAGTTTTCAAAATGACAATGGGAAATCAGATCAAATCCCTGGTCTCTGGATCCGTGTTGGATATCACTGTTGTATCCATGTGCGTAAGTCTTAAGACATTTAGAAACTTTCCTAATTGGAAGACAAAGGTTATTTACTCGTGAATCCAGCTAATGGAATAACAGAGTATGGTGATTTTCTTTCTGAAATTCAATTGTAAGGTTAGACTGTGCCAAAGAAATCTGATTTATAACTAATGTATTAAATTCATTTTTGGTAGGTGGGGTGAACAATGCCTAGAAAACCATTCATTTCTAAGTAGTTTTCCTTATAATCTACAGAATCCTTCCTTAACCATGAGTCATTCACCTTAGCTGCTGCACAAGACTTGTGGTGACTACTGGTAGAATATTATCTTTCCTACACAATTTGAAACAGTCCTACACACTTTACAAGAGCATAAACACATCCATAAAAAAAGGTATTAATTCTTTATAATATTATGCTGGGTTCTTACTTGGACATTATCATATGGACTACATTCAAACCTGGACTTTAAAATATAGCATAAAGTTCTCCCCTTGTTTTAAAGAGGAAATGATGCCCAAGTGTGATGCTTCACAAAGAATTGCTTTTCATGTCCTTTGAAATTTCTTTGTATGCCTGTTTAACTTCTCTTTATTTATTTTACTTATTTTTTTAAAACAGGAAGACTCTGCTTTCTAACTGACTTTTGTCCTTGTGGTGCCATCACCCCCTGTTATTAATTAAACTCTTAAAAAAAAAAATGTATCTAGGCAAATTTAGGCATACAGGTGTATCCTGCAGACAGCTGGCATAGTTTATGAACTATGCAGTGCTCATGCTGGGACCTATTTTCAAAATTTTCCTTTTCCTCTTTTTCCTATAGCTTCCCCTCCCCAAAAGCGTCAGAGGCATCTCTCAAAAAATACTCCTTTTAATTGCTGGCCTTGGAATTACTTATGTTCCAGCTAATTTTAAGCATGAATAGTCCAATGAACTTCAGCTGGAATTTGGATTTCTTCAATAGAAAAAAAATTTTTCAACAGAAAAAAATATCTGAATTTTTCTTTTAGGAAGATACATTTCACATGAACACGAAAAGGTTAGAAGGCAAATATCTACCAGAAAACAGCTGTGCAGACCCCTTAAATGCTGAAAGATACATTTTTAAAATGCATCCTCTGCTTTACCTTAATTTAAGGTATTGCATTGGACTGGTTATTAGCAACTGTATAGTCATTACTTGGCACATGTTTAAACATTTTAATTTCTTATGACTATTTTATGTGCACACAATAGAACAAAGCAGATTTACAACACACTTTTGAGGAAAGAATAATGACAGTGGTTATCTCTTAATTACAGGAGAGATTTTCAAAAGCACCTTGTGGCTTGAATTTCAAGGTGACTTTGTGCATTGTTACTTAGGTGCTTTTGAAAACTGTACCTTTGGTGCTCTCCAAATTTTTAAACCCGGTCATAACCGTTGTGTTCAGAAATTACGGAGAAGTATCAGATATCCCCCATACGTTCCTGTTGGGAGATTCTGCTGCTGACAAAACCAGCAACGTATCACTTGCACGCAGGAGTGACTCGAGACACGTTTCACTTCTGCCTAACTGACATTGTTAGTTCTTTAGTAACAGCTAATATTGATAGCTCAGGAAGAAGAAAGACTACCAAAGAAGGGTGAGAGACAACCTCGTTGAGGGATTTTGTAGATGGCCAAGACCAGGTCTTTTGCAGATGCGAAAGTGAGAGTACAACTGAGAAGTCAGATTAGCAACGGGGAGACTGAGTACAAACAAGTTTTAAGTATGAACTGAATAGTCCCATTCTATTCAGTCAAATGCTTTTTCAGCTTCTATCAAATCATCTGCCGCAGGGGAGTTTCATTTATTTGCCAGGTGGATAATGTTGCACACAGTGTTCAGGCATTTTCAAAAATCTGTTTTTGACAAATACCACTTGGGAGGTAGATATATAATGTGTAGATTTCTTGTTTCTAAGCAATTTAGTTAATACCACGGCAAATATTTTATGATCTAAATTTATGAGCGCAATGATTCAGTAATTACCACAGAGCAAAGGATCACAATCAGGCTTTAGAAGGAGAATAATTTAAAGTTTAATGGAACTGGCCACATTTAGGCAGTTTTTCACAGAACAGCAGTGGACACGTCACCGGAATGGGTATGTCGCTTGCCAAGTTACAAGTGCTGGCCAGCAAGTGTTAAGGAGCTTCTCAACAAAATAACTATAAAAATTATTTTCAAGCAGTCCAGACATTGTGCCTTTCTTAATTTTAGTCTAATAAAACTAACGGGTGAAATGTGCTAGCAGAAATTTTCTGAAAGCACCAGCTCCAAGAAAACCCTCGGAGTTCAATCATGGGAGATTTCAGCCTAAATGGTGACAGTCTGAACACATTAACACATCACTGAAACAAATTTCTGAAAAGCTCAGGCAACCTTAGCCATAAATTAGCTCATGAAGGTTGGTAAAAGCTTCAAAGCAGAAAACTGATAAAGAATTCAGGCAGTGTTTCTAAATTTCAGTGAGGAAGTCAGAATCATGGTTTTGAAGTAGCAGCAAGCATCACCTTACAGAAACAGTGATCTCTTGGACTGTTAGTCATCATCATTACCATCATCATCACCATCTTTTTGATCCTAAATGTTGTGCCCTTCAGATTGGAAGGAAAAAGGACACCATCGCGTTTTTTTGGGTCTAGATTAAGGGCGGGAAAGCTTTGTAGTCTATTGTAAGCAGAAGTGGTGAGGTCATATATGAAAACGGATGTGGACAGTTAAGACTCTCTCTCTCTTTGCATTTTCAGTTGTGAAGCCTGCTCTCCAGAGATTGTCCCTTCTTAATTAATTTTAAGTATAGTAATATATTTCTTACATATATATATTCACCTGGTTTAAATCAAGCTGAAGGTTGTTGACACATGTTTTTACTGGCTTAATGAAATTGATTTAGAAACCACATTCTTAGAAAGCTTGCATTCAGAATTTTTTATTCAGATCAGGCAACAAGGTTAATTAGCTACTGTGAAATGCTTATGGTATCGCAATATCACTGCAAGTGAAGTGGCACCCAGGAGACGTACGTCAGTGAGGGCTAGAGGAGTAAAGAGAACCGATACCCAGCAAACTGGGAGGAAGGTGTCCTACCTGTGCAGAGGGGAGAAGGGAAAAGGAAGGAGAAAACTTCCAATACGCTAACAAATTTCCACCCCGGTTTCTTATCAGGGCTTCATTATCATTAAGTAAAAGACAGAAACAAGGCTGAGTATTATTTTAATCTCTAATGCTACTGACTCAGCGTGACAGTAACATACAGCTCAGAATTAATGGAGATATATGAGACTGTTTGCACTGCGAGAAAGAGACAGCGATAAAAAAGGGTTAAGGGTCAAGTCCATTAGCAGAAAAGAACATTTTAATTCAGACTGCATTTCAGGAGTTTAGCCTATTTCCAGTGCATCCACAGTTGAGCAACCTGCTGCTAAACAACCACCCTATTGAAGGAGGAGGAGAATAGTGGGTGTAGCTCACCATTACCGAAATGAATTGTGTTAGTCTCTTAAGTTTCTAAAAGGAACAATGAATGAAGAGAATAAAAGGGTTTATTTAGAAAAGGATCTTTCTATTCACAACTCACCTGAAACTTTTTCTTTGCCACGAAATACTGCATCCTACGAATCACCTTAATTGCAGCGCGGTGGTGTTCTCGCAGCCTGTGGGAAAAACGAGGAAGGTGAGTGGGGTGAAAGAGCATCTCCATCCAGACAATAAATGTAAGAGTCTGCAGTAAATGCTTCACTAACACGTGAATGTGTAATGTAAGTAGTTGTGATTCAGCCTGGGAGCACAACGCACTATTATGCTGACCTTCCCCACCTTTCAAGGCGGCTATAAAAATCCAGGATTTTATCTGCCCCATGCTAGGTTTGCACACATTTCACAGTAAAAAGAGGTGTCCACAAAACCTCCTCCTATGTGTAAGCAAACCTCCACCCATCTTTCCCAGTTCATCTCCACACACACACACAAAAAAGCTACCACGCTGCTGCATATTCAGCCATGCACAGCTTTTCTACATGGTCACTCTAGAAATCCAGCTTTTGGGTTTTTCGTGGGGGTTTTGTGTGGTTCCAGCCCCGCCCCCCCCAAGTTCTGTACAGTATGTTTCTTCACTTACACAAATTTCTTTTCCAAAAATTATTTAAAAAAAAAACACTTTACAGATTTTTGAGTTGTTGACTGCTAAACAATCCAAATGATCTTGTGGTAGCAACATCTACATACAAATGTGTTCCAAAATGAAACCATAAGTATATAGAAAGACAAAATAATCTGAAAGGTCTTTAAACAAATATATCCCCCTCTTCATTCACATGCACGTGAACCGAAAACAGAATAAAAAAATACTAATTTGCTCTTTGCACTTTAAAATAACAGATTTTCATAGTATCGGACATTATTTTTTAAACAGTTCATAAAAAGCAACAGATATTTTATATCTTTCAAAGCTTCCAAAAAAGATGTATTTTTTTCCAAAATTTTGTATTTTTCTTTTGAGGAAGTCAGGCAGAAACACCAAGAGGCCTGCATGGGTGAACGAGGAGCTCCTGGACAAACTCAAACACAAAAAGGAAGCCTATAGAGGGGGGACGCAAGGACAGGTAGCCTGGGAGGAGTACAGAGAAACTGTCTGAGCAGCCCTGACAGAATTAAATCTGGCCAGGGACGTCAAGGGCAACAGGAAAAGCTTCTATAAGTATGTTGGTGATAAAAAGGAAGACCCGTGGAACTACAGGCCAAAACCACAGGAACTACAGCAGATCCTCCCGGAAACTGTGCTGAGGCATATGGAAAATAAGGAGGTGATTGGTGACATCCAACATGGCTTCACTAAGGACAAATCGTGCCTGACAAATGTGGTGGCCTTCTACAACAGGGTTACAGTCTTGGTAGACAAGGGAAGAAATTCTTAACTATGAGGGTAGCGAGGCACTGGAAGAAGAAGTTGTGGATGCCCCATCCCTGGAAGCATTCAAGGCCAGGCTGGATGGGGCTCTGAGCAACCTGGTCTAGTGAAAGGTGTCCCTGCCCGTGCAGCGGGGTTGGAACTAGACGGTCTTTAAAAGTCCTTTCCAACCCAAACCATTCTATGATTCTTACTAACATTAAAATATCAAATCAAACATTTAAGATGTGCCAATGGTTTATTCTGCTTGCTCATTCTATTACTCTTATCAAGATGCCCTTGAATGACATTATTGCACAATCTTTATTTCTTTTTTAAATGCATGAACATCTACTATTTCTAACTCTCATCCAAAACAGGCTTCTAGTGATGGCTTTGGGGAAGCAGCAGTAAAAGTAGAGTTAGATAATCCAGGTGTTTTATCTTCATAAAATTATTATTAGTAATACTGATATACTGGCATATTGGGATGTGCCTGGGCAGTGCGTTCTGCCTGTACTGAACCTGATAGCATTTATACTCACTAGGGGATGGAAAAGTCGTATTTAAGTTCTGTACACATTTGGGTCTTTGGTATGATATGGCCCGGTATTACCCAAGCTTCTTCGGTTAAATACAACCTGGAATTTTAGTATGTATTCACGCTTTTCCTCAGGACAAATTTCCCCCAGCAAACAAAAGTTCTGCACGTGCCAGTGGTGGACGTCTGTCCTCTGAAGGGCATGGCAAGTGTAGCTGGGGCGTTCCTTTCTGAAAACTCACATTTTTAGTGGGCAAATAGCTCCTGCAAAGCCAAAAACAGAACCAAAAAAAGCTCTCATTTTCTACTTGCAGACAGTACCTCTCGGTGGTTGCTTTCTGTTACAGAAATTGTTCAGTTTTAGCAATGACAGAAAAGATTACTTTCTCCAGACACAGTGTAAAATACGGTCGCTTTTCAACCTAATACCATACAGCTTTTCACCACAGCTCTACAGATCGCTAAGACTGTAAGTGCATTTATATAAAGCCACTGTGCCTCAGTAATTACGCACCAATCTGTGAATCTCCAGATGGATCCGTATAGGGAGGCCCTTCCCTCGTAACACCTTACTGAGGTGTCTCAGCGAGACTCTCACCAGGTCCCTGCTCCTGCCGATCTGACTGCAAGACCATGGTTCGTGTTATAAAAACGGAAATTCGCTCCTCCTATCTGGGATGGCTGCCTGTTTGGATTGAGTCCCGGTGAACGCAGTTAGCCTAACGCTAGTTCGTGGTATCCTTGTTCTGTGAGCCCTTGCTGCGTCGCTCTGCTGCTAGGGACAAAAGAGGACTTCCCCAAAAGCTGAAGGAGATAAAGTATTTGGGGGGCTTGAGTTCTGCTTCACGGAGATGGGAGACAAAAAGATGAATGCTGCTTCATTTGCTATTAAATATCAAAGGTGTGAAAGCGTAACTGTCATGCAGCTATACATCCTGTCCATAAACGCACACAGAAACGTCTTATGACAAATAGAAATAAATTTCAATTGCAATAAAACTGCTTGCAGTATTTCGGTTTATGCCTCATTTCGTCTGGGGTGTTCTTCACAGTCCATTATTTCTGAGTAAGATATTTTTCTTTTGGACAGACGGTCAACTAGTAAAGCACACCAAATCCCTCATTCTCTATCTAGGTGACGAGTCTCATCAACAAGCAAGACCGCTGGATAATAAAAATTATATTCGCCATTCAGTGAAATAACAAAACTATACCACCAAAATGATTTTCCAGTGCAGCGATTTTACATCTGTCATTGTTCAGTGCTAACATGAACTTCCATGCCAGGAGGGAAAGTTAATATTCTCTTTTTATTCCTTCCCATTTCCAGCTCCAGTAGGAAGCCTTACAGTAAGCTTCTTTCTGCTTATGCTGTAAAACCTAATTCTGCACAACAGGCTGTCCTGATTCCCCAAGATTAAATGCTTCTGCTATGAGGGAAGTGAATAAAGGATTTAATTAGTAGCCAAGGTTATGATTCAGAGTTGTTTGATCTCTTTCACAAACTGGTAACAAATGCTTTAGTAAATTGAGAGCTTAAACATTAACTGGCGATATTTGTTTGTTCAGCCACTTGTGACATTTCTGAATTCTGGTTACAGAATGTCTGTCTGCAACCTCTGGGGACATACAGCATGCTTAGATGCCAGATAGCCACTCAATATATTACCGTCCTCAGAGCGAGAGTTTCATGAATACTTCTTTTTTTTTTTTAGGAGTGTGGTGGGAAATGACATCATCTGAGGCCGCTTACAGACAACAGCAACATACCTTGGCTGTGCATGAATCCCCACAGCGAGAGGGAGACGCCCTTTGGAGAAGCACTGCCGTGCAGAGCGAGCCTCCGAAGGCAGTCTCCCCCTCTCAGCCCCCGGGGAAGGGTTTTTTAGGGACTACCGGGATACTCCAGAAAGCCTGGCTGCTTCAGAGGGAGCTGAGCTCTCTTGCAGTTGAAATCCCTCATTTTTACACGTTTGTTTTGCCTAACTTTGTGAGAAAGCTTGTTTGATAAGTGCATTAGCAGCAGGGGCAGCAGGCAGGTTTTGCCCTTTTGTTAATGAAGCTGAGCGTTCGTCAGGCTTGGAGGCTCACCCTAACCCTACCCATTAATCTCATGATAGCCGACGTCTTGTTTTGCAAGGGACTTGCCAAACGGCATTTGAGTGCTTCCAATAACCATCAGCATGTTACCTTCAAACATAAACTGAAGTAGTTTGGAAGTCCATAAAACCAAGCTAAAGATTATTGCTTCCAATACTAGATAACATATCAGCCTGCGCCTTTCAGAAGAAAAATTGCCAATAGCTTTCACTGGCTACCGGTAATTTTCTTTCTCAAGATAAACGGGACATCAAGATTACCTTGAATATGGCACATACTATGTGACATTTCCTGTGGACCTAAACTCATAGAATTAGGTCCTGAAGCCACCAATGAAGCCGTAACATTGTCAGAACCCACAAGAATAATCCAGAAGGATGAAGGAGGATATAACAACTCATTAACAACAGAAAACCATCCTGGTGATAGTAGGGTCAATAGATTCATTCAAATCTCCATTACTTGTAGGTATAAACTAGGTTTGTTTTATTTGCGCACTGAAAAAGTAACCTGTTGTGGATGCAGACACTCCTCAAAGCATAACAAATGAGGATAAAAAAACCTCCAGCAACAAAATACAATGGATTGAGCACCCACATTACAAAAGAAAGCCTAACAGAATAAAATGACTAGAAATCCCTAGTCTTTCCTGCCTCCTTTTGTTGTTAGGATACTTAACCTACAACAAGTCATTTAGAGGAAACCTGATCACTTCATTAGTCCATCAGAAATCTGGACTGGAATTTCACGTAATTTGACAAAAAAGCACGATGAAGAACTTCAGGTAATTTTACAGACATTCTCATTTGGTTTGAAAGTTGTTATACATTTATAAATGCTCCAAACTATTGTAATGGAGCCATTTGTACGTTTGATTGCAATATAATTCATTTTTCACAACACAGCCAGGTAAAACCTCAATAGGTTTCCCAAGGTGTGGCTCATTCCCCAGCCCTGCACTCACCGACAGCCACAATGAACGTCACCGGCTTCAACCAGCACTCACCTGCCTCCTTCCTGCAATGGGGACCTGCAGGGCTATCACAGAAGAATGTTTTCGGGGGCCAAGGCTAAGATTTTTGGTTACAAAAAACAGGTGGCTTTACAAAAAAGGAAGTAAGCAGTTGCATGGTTTGGTTGTTTCACGTTTCAAGAAAAAGAAAAACTTTTATTTTTTTAAATGAAGTTCTACAAGATTAATTCCTATTCTGAAATACACAGTTCTTTCATTAAAGAAGAAGAAAGGAAAAACAATTACTAATTAGAAATATTTCTTGTCCTTACAAGGCTGCTGAATTTTATATCATATCCTTAGTAATGCCATTAGAAGTTTGTTCTCCTTTTCATCTCAGGAAAGTGTTCTACATATTGGTTTAGTGTTAACAGAAATATTAAAGCAACAAGACAGAGGAAAGGTGGTGCTAATTTCCTATTTGTAACACTTGCCTTTTTGTTCATTTGTAGAACATTTTATTATCAGGACTGTAATGTCTGGCACAGACCTCCCAATGTACATGGACACTGATATTATCAGAGTTAAAAGGTCAACGCTGTCTATTCAGAATGAGTTTAACAAGAACAAAAACTCAGTAGGAGAGTGCCACAGATTTATAGTATCTTTTACAAAATGCCCATCTCTCAGTAAACCTAACACTGATTTGAAGTCAAACTCAGTTTTCAAACATATTTAAATTCTCTGCAGTCATCTTAGATTTCTGACTTAGGACAGAGCTAAAGTATTAAGAAAGAAGGCTGAAGTCGGTTGGCCTGAAGTTTTTGGCACTAATCATTATTTAGACTTGAACTTTATCTTTAACACATCAGATTTTAATAATGTTGTGCATATGAACCGAAATATTTTTTCCATTCAGGCACTGAAAAGCGTTCCTTGTCACAGAATCTGGTGGACGAGATTCAGAGTAACTACATTAAGCCATTTCATTAGTGCATTTAAGCCTAATGAAATCTTTCATCGTTAGTCCTCCAGGCGCTTTTGGTATAGAATTTGCTGTGGCTCAAGGTTATTCTTGTCTTTTCACACGTTCTGTCATTCCCTGCCCATTACAGTTGATGGGCTTCTCTCCGCACTGGGCAACATTTTAGATGCGATAAGTTGTAAGGGATTAGGTTGCATCGCTGTGTATTCTGTAAGAGGAAATGCTTGATCACCGTACCCAGGAACAAAATCAGAATTGTTGATTATTTCAAATAATGTAGGCTACCCTGATTTTCCTTTCATTTGTTGCTAGAGCTTGGCAACTGTTGTTTGCCATCATTATGATACGTTTATCAGGGGCTCTCAAAACGTACTCTGGCCCATAAATGACTCACAAAAACCATCTTAAGGACAAACCGGTAAAAGCTGCCCAGAAGTGTTAGAAAAGTATGGTGACACTTGAAGAGCAAACCAGTTACAAAACTGAAGTTTTATTAAATGGGCTTCAGCCAAGCTTAGTGTTTACATAAATGTTCCCATAACATTTTCAATCTATGAATGCGTTTATTTTTCATGGACAAGCATTCTTTACTAGACCTCGCCCTCTGGATTTCCCATCCATTCGTGAAAGTAAAGCTAGAAACTAGTGACAAGACAAATGAAATGAATTCATCTATCCCCCACAGTCCTCACAGGTTTAAATGCCATAGGAATACAGATATAACAGATATATGTAGACCAAGGAAAATCACAAATAGCAGGTGAGCCAGATTTTTAAAACTTCTTTGATCTTAGCAGTCAAATGCATTCTAGTAATTATTGGCAAACAAGTTATGAAATCTGGTTAAGAAAAATCTATGTCTACTCTTATTCATGCTTGCAAATTTGTCATGAACAGGTAAGATTTCATCAAATGCATTTGTTAATATAAACAATGAATAATTCAATGTCAGCAGCACATGATTTCTATGAAGACATTTGATTAATAATTTCTATAAAATAGTATGTTTTGAGTGTTTAATTTTAAAAATATGAGCTCCTTCAACTTAAATTCACGTGTGTCACTGTAATTTCTGTTCCCTACCTAGCAGAATGCAGGGGCTGACTTCCCATAGGAGTATTAGCGATTATAAATTAAAAGATCGCTCTGCAAGAGTACTCTGTAAGAGTAATGTCAAATTCACTATTTTGGTGAACCCTTCAGCCAGTAAACATCTTGGTTATTATTTACTGACTATGAACATAGCCCCAGGGCAATTAGCTTAAGCTGAATTAACATTTGTAAGCTCCTCTCCCCACTACGTATTCTCCCAACTCTCTGTGGTTGGTCTTTTTTTTTTATTTAAAATACGTAATTTTAAATCCACAGTCATCTTTTAATGGATTTGTATTTTATTTTACAGCAGCTTTCATGTCTCCCTTCTTAAATGTCATGGGCTTAACTCAGAAATCCTTTCATGTAGTTATAGCAATCCTCTCTGCCGATAGTCTGGTTTAGCTTGGTTTGGGGATTTTGGAGCGACATGCAAAAAACCCCCAGTTTAAAAAATACCATTGCCTTGGGAGGATTTGGATGTTTTAATATCTCCAGTTAATAAC